AAGAACCACTACAGGGCCCACCGCCTTTCTTTTTGGCTAAACTTGGTGCCCGACCTTCACAAACCCGGCTCAGATGACGTTCCTAGGTCGCATCACCTTCTCGATGCCGAGCAGGTATTGCAATGTCACTATAAAAACAATTGCTAGTTAATCGTATAATTATGAAAATTGAAATAAGTTAAAGCAATTAAACATAAAATATGTTGGACTCAGGAAGAGTTTTATTGTCCAGGTGCCACCCAGATTCATTCAGAGGCTACCAACAACTGCGAGAACAACTACGTTGGAGGTAACATCTATCGAGAAATCCTCGTCCAACGTGTCAACGATTACGCCGAGTGACGTTACTTTCGAGGATTCCACGGCGTTACCCGAGGATGGCTTCGCGGCGTATTCCACCGCCCTGAGCGTGACAATCGCGATCGGCTGCAGTCTGCTGATCTTAAACGTACTCATTTTCGCCGGGGTGTATTATCAACGCGACAAGAGCAACCACCAGCACCACGGCTGCTCGAAGAAGCGCCAGGAGAACGGCCAAATGCCGAACAACATTTGCGGCGAGCTGGAGACCAAGACCGCCGAGCGACATCACATCCAGCACATACCGCCGCCGGAGTTCGCTGACCTCCAGAACAATACCTGTCACGTGCCTATGCCGCCCCCGCCACCGAAGAATACGAAGCCCGGTAAGCCTGGTCAGAACCTCATCATCAGTCCCAACCAGCTGCAGCAGGAGAGCTTGGCCATGACCGGCACTGGGACCTTGAAGAAGGGACACAATCACCCTCAGGTCATGGAGGAGTTAAGGGTCTGACTTTAGGAGACCGCGCGGCCGCCGAACTAACACGGCCGCGAGGAAAATAGGATCCTGAAAGAATCGTCAAGGGATCATTTCAATATGGGAATTACTTTCCAATTATCAATCTGACCATGGATGACGTAATCGAGGATACTCAAGAAGAAACACAATCATTGCCAGGTCACAAAGAAGCCTGAGAGCCAGAGACTCTAGTGAATACCGAAACTTTTAGATTAGAAACCGTCGAGTGTCCGGAAACCGTACCGAGGTGACTCTTCAGAATGTTCTTCGTCAACGCCGACGGCGTTTAGCCGTGAGAAGTGGCGAAATCCTACAGAAGGTACCGCAAGACGATTAAAAGAGACAAAGTCTGAAATCAAAAAACGGAAAATCATTTCAGGAATAATATTATCCAACGATATATTCGACGGAGAAATGGAACAATTCTTCAAAGTTTTTCGAAGCGTGATATTGTCGATAGATAGGAAGTGATAAAGGATGAAAAAAGTAAATGGAGGACTTTCATTGTTACGTGAGAAGTACATATTAGTGCCAGGGGTGTGACTGGGATTTGGAACCTGGAAGCTAACTGCTGGCCTTTATCGTAGACCCAGAAAATGTCGAGGTCCAGTCGTTTGGGCCAGGCAGTGCTGCTTCCATTCGCTAGTTGCTGCCCCTGTGTTAGTGGCACCGCCATACTGTTATCGTTTTCTACCTTTCGAATTTGCGACCAACTGCCGAAAATCACATAGTCTTCGATGGATAGACAAATCTGCGTTAAGTAGGACTCTTCATCCCCCAAGAAAAGAATTTCATCGTATTACATTCCTTCTTTTCATCCTGTTATATTCTCTTGCAATTTTTTTAATTTTTTATTTAGACTCGAAGATTCTAATTTTATTGCTGAAGATGGACATGTTCCTTTATATATTTTTTCAACTTTCATTATAACAAATTAGTAAGCAATTTTCTTACGCGCACGAACGAAATTGTCAAAATTGATGGTATCTTTCTTAATCTTTTGTGTTGTCAGCTATCTCTTCCCCTTTCCTTCTCTTTCATTATTATACTTCCATGTAATATAGACTGAAGGTTCGAGCCGATTTGTGAGTCGTGCCGACACTGTCCTCGTTCTTCCGAGTGATAATGATTATGACAATGGTTCGAATCGCTGCCACGACGATTCATTTCTATGACGTCGATCGTTCAAATGCTCAATTAAATATTTAATTAATATACTTTCTTTCTCTCAATGATGATGTGTGATTAAATTTTTAAATCAAATTTATCCTTAGCAGCAAAATTTTGTCACGACAAAGATCGACAAAATAAAATTTCAACAATTTCGTGAAAATGTTACGATATTCTAGTAATTTTTTGCAAATTAAAATATAAGATAAAATTAAGATAAACTTCTGCACAATAAAAATTTGATAAATTTCTGAAAGGATTACGTAGGAGAGAATCGAACAATTTTTTTTTTATCATAAGAACAAAGAAAAGTCGAATGATTGACGACACTCAACAGTATACTGCCAAACGATCACGAATTAAGAAAATCTTACGGATCGTTGAATGAGAAATCGTTATAAGTCAAAATTCGAAGACAGAAAGCTGCTGCGATAAAAAAAAAACGCGTTGTTTTTAATATTCCATCAATATTTTACAAAAATAAGACAACTGCAAATTTAATCACAATCTCGTTGTTTTAAATATAAAATCTTTTTTTCCAAAAGAATATTATATGCGAGGCAGGCATTCGCACAACAATTGATTGCAAACTATTTGAAAAATTCTATTGTTGTATTGTTATAAAGTTATATTGTTCATATAAAGATTTCATTAGACGTTCTTCGTTTTAATTTCATTGATTTCACTAATCTCATATCATTCGTATCATTTTTAAGACTAGCAAGTAATGAAAAGACAGAAAGAGATTAAATTTCTAGAGTTGTCCTATTTTTAAAAGATTAATAAAAATTTTTTGAATATCTGAACGGCGACAGGCTGTTGAAAGATCTTTCGAATGTAATTTCGAAACTGTAAATAAAGATTAATTAAATTTAGGTCTGTCGCTGTGATGCGCTGTTAACGAGTGGAGGATATACCAAAGAGCTCTCGAGAATAGCTCTGATTGTAATATTATTGCACATCGATGAGAAAAACGGTATGTCAGCGTAGTCGGAAGCACATTGGACGTAATTTTAAATTTGTATATAATTGACATTACAATAAACTATATAATAAACTATCAATTCTTTTAATCCAACCTATCCCTTCAAAGAATTGTTTTGTCAGCTTACGGAAAGATTAAAATAGTACGGATTGTGTCAAGATTGATCGAATAGATGTAAATGAAAAATTTTTTTAATAAGCTAAAAAATAAGCTGCTTATATTCTACATCTATGACACTGAAATTATAAACTTGTAAAGAAAATTATACAGATATTTAATTAAGGCGGTATTCATAGTCTGTTCTTATTTCAAGATCGTCCGAAATAATGTCTTATGACGCTAACTGATTGGCTTTCCGATTGGATCATGATATCTTAAGACTGTACTTAAGACGGTCTTAAATATAAGATCTGACTGTGAATACTTGCACAATTAAGAAATCTAAGAATTCCAAGGATTGTTTCTGGTGAACATAAAACTTTATTCGCTCATTCGTTGAAGCTCTACGGTTTAAATATAATAATCGCGACACACATGTTATGACAAGTTTGTAAAATTTCATTCGCGAACCTCGAATTCGGACTAACACGAGGCTCTATCTAAGACACAAGGTACAAAAAGATGGGGTTGGTTCCTTTACCTCGACAAACGAACCCTACGATCAGAGAAACTTTTGACTCGCTTTTAATGGCAGTTAAAGCGAATGCTCAGACTCGCTTTTCTTCAGAATTTCTCACGATACACAGATTATTTTCTTAAGGATATTAATATACTTAAAATTAAAAATATGTGGCGCTTGACACGTACAGTACAAAATTGGATAAAACTTAGACAATGTATATTTAAATTCAAATATCACAAATACAATGTTAACGTTTAAAATTGTAGCAGAGTGAAAAACTGTTGTCGATTTAGCATAAATATTAATTAGACAAGAATTCTGATTCGCGATCGTGTACCTGATTACTGTCAGTATTGTTAACATGTAATTAAGCATTGTGCTATTTCATGCATTTCTACCAATTAACAAAACATATAGTCTATTTTTAAGTATTACGGAAAATCTAATATAAAGAATAGAAAATTATCAACATTTTCGTCTCTCTGATCGTGGCTCGTTATGCGGACAAAAGCGCGGCCTTTGTCCGGACAAAACTCGCTATCCTGCTCCCTCTAATCGTTTACAATAGTACGGTACAATCTGTATATGCAATTGCTACAACTATGTAGCATGAAGCTGAAATAATAATAATCCCGCCATTACTACTCAGCTACGATTTTGTCTTACGGTACAGCAAACAAGAAACAATAGCAAAAGGATCGCTCCTCCTCTCGCATGACATAACCACTCCTATAACGAAGTTTATCTCGACATATTTTATATATTTATATACCTTTGTAATATATATATATAATAAGTCGTAAATGCACTTGAGGCTCCGCTCTAGCCGGAACGTTCGTTTATAATTGTCATTTCCAATTTAATTTATCTTAATTTAATCTAATTTGTTACATATTATCAAATCCCTTTCAGCGCCGCATTAAATATTAAATTAAATAATATTTATACTAAATATCAGTATATTTTAAATGTTAAAGTAATAGTAATATCGAAATTAAAGTATAAAATAAAACTCTTAATTCTTTAATGATGAGATACAGAAAAAAATTCATTAACTCCACAAGAGTTCTTAATTTAATATGTAAACTACAAGAAATTGAATTGCTTGAAAATGTTAAAGCTTTATATAAATATAAAATCTTATATAAAATAAAATCGTATAAAAACTATTTCTCATGATTATCAAAAGCAATCACCGTCAGTTGTCAATAAATTATCAATCAAGAGAAAAATTAGAAAAATTCAATTAGAAAAATTAGTGATTGCCATTGTAAATTCGCCATACGACGATCATTTCGACTAGATCGGCATACTTCGGTTTACTTATCAATTACACTAAGGAAAAGACATTGCCCGTAATTATTTTAAAATTGAATACTATCGCGGATACATTGTTGTCCTTTTTGGGGTTCAGGGATGTATCCCGTTTGTAATAAAATTATATAAACATAATTACACATTTGTAATAAAATTATATAAACCTTTATATATATTTATCAATTTAGGAATTTATAAATTTAAAGATATTTTTTACGAATGTTTGCGATGGCATTTTTGCCACTTTATTGC